TCTAGCAAATTTCATCCTAGAACATTTTTACATTAAAAAGTTGGGAGAAAAATCATCTATGCTATGGCCGGTTTCTTTTAGATCTGCTTTTGGTTGCTGTTATTTATTCCCATGAGTGTCCGTCCAGCACCCTCAGCCTCTTATTTATTCTGGATCAGAAATGTTTGTCTCAGAAGCCTCAAAAGAGACACCGAGTGCAGGGGTTGGGTGGGTGGCATTCCAAACCCTTTCTGGCCGGCAGGGCCCTCAAAGGACAGGACGCTGAGTCTAAGGATGGTGGATGCCTCACGATTTTAAAAGACATTTCCAGGGTAAGGTGAAGGCAGGGAAGAAATGCAGCCTTGGAGAGCCTAATTCTTCTCTGGAGTGCATGCTTTCCCCTGATGTCAAGGCTCTAGATTATTCCACTGTTTACCTGCTGTGTGACTTGACAAGGGTAATGTGATTTAGAAACTCAGCGGCCATCCAGAAAGTCTATTTTCAGCCAGGCGGTTACCAGGCAATGTCAGGGGATTGGGCTCGCGTGTATTAAATCCCAGGTTTAATCCAGGAGCCAGTGTGTCTGTGAATATTTTCTAACTGCCCTTTGCATGGGTCACATCAGTTCCATACAGTATTGTCCACGTGGGTGCCAGGATTAACGCATCCAGAAAGCTGGGCTTAGCACCTTTAGATCTCCTGATGAAAATTTCAGCACATGGTTAGGATGTAAGCATTTATAAACACACGCCCCCTCTGCCAGCTACACGAGACAGAAAACTTAAAAATTACCCAGGAAAAATAACTTAAATCTTAGAGAAAGAAGAATGTAGGTGGTGATATATAAGAATTCCCTAAGATACAGTTGTTCACGGCCTTTTATTTTGTTAACAAGTCTTTTGTTTTGCTGCAGGAATAGCAATAAAAGATAAAAATTATTTGAAACCGAGGGACGAAGCAGAAAATGGTCTTTATTTCTAGGTTTGCCTATTCTTGGCACAGTAATAATGATAGTGGCAAACTCGACAATAGTGAACATTTATTGAGTGCTTTCTCAATATACTTTACACACTTAACCAATTGAATCCTTGTGACAACCTTATTAGAAAGCTGCTATTATTATTCTTATATTTAGGGAGCTGAGACATATGTGTCAATTATGAGTAGATAGCTATAGCAGCACATATAAATTTGTCACTAATAGAAATTACTGATATTTTCATATCATCTCACAATGTTGCAGATATTCCAAAATATCATTGATGTTCATCACTGCATCAAAATTATGCTAGTTATCAGATCTACCAGTAGATCTTGATATTAAATATTTAGTGCATTGATAAAGAAGCTATTTGCGTTACTATATCACAAAATGTGTTTTGTAATATTTTAATTGCTAGTGGTATTTCAACATAATTTTATGATATGCATTTAAATACATTATAATTTTGAAAATAGGAATAGAAAAGGGGAAGTGGGCCATGACTCCAAAGTAGATGAAGGCTTTGGCTAGAGAAGGGAGAAGGGCTCGAACATAGCTGGTGGTCTGTGGATTGCTTTTTTAGAAATGAGTCATCTCTCGGGCTTCCCAGCATGAACATCAATCATTGCAGACAGTCCAGCAAAGGGGGAAATGGGGTACCTTTGCTAGGAGAGGTGGAAGTTGAGGCACAGCAAGTTCTTTGGGCCTTTAAGTCTTTCTCTTGTCTCAATGTCTGCCCCTCTTGCTTTGCACATTCACATTATTGCCATCTTATTCCCCCATGGATGTGCCTCTGCCTCTTGTATTTGGCACACAAATTCATGGAAGGACCTTAAAATTAATTACTTCATTTTGATGAATTTAAGTTGAGAAAGTCAACTTTGTTTATTGGATGCTCATTGTTCACAGTCTCAACAAGAAACCAAAATGAATGATTGTCTTCAAAACAGGGTGAGAAAGGCCTACATTTCTGGACTGAGTCCTGGCGTTAGTCTTCTGGAATTATCAGATTGCCTCACAGAAATAAAGGGGCAGGGAAGTGAAAGGTGCTTTGCATTATTTCTAGGCCTGCATCATAAAGTGTTGTGAATTCTAAATAATAAATAACAGACCCACACTCTCACAAAAGTCTCTGCTTTGATGAAACTTTGCCATGGTTTTCATTTAGGCTTGTGTCCGATGTACCCATAATGTTCTCTCTATTTACAGAAAAACAGATTGTTGTATGATTTAAGAATTTAAATGTCTGACATAGAGGAATTATTTTAATCTTAGAATCATCAAAATACACAAACTTCAATTTACCTCTGAAATTCCTTTGAGGTGATATAAACTCCATGATGTTATCAGAGTTATCTTTCTTAAAAAGCAAACTGAAGACTTACCTCCTTCTTTATAATCTTCCATTTTCCTCTATTGTCAATAGGATGGAGCCCCAGATGTTTGGGATGGGGTCCAAGGTTTCGTGGTCTGGGCCCCGCTGCCTCTTCAACCTCCTGGCTGGCCATTTCCCCACATACATCTCTATTTCAAGCTTTCTAAAGGTAGATTGTATTTTCCTGCACACATTCTGACCTCTTTAACTTGCGTGACTCTGCATAGGCGATTCAGTCCTGCTCTACTTCCTGGAAAACTCCTATTGGTCCTTTGAGATGCCTTCTGGGCACCACCCTCTTTCTGAAGACTTCCCTTATGTTGACCTCCATTCCTCACTCGTCATCCCATGAATGTGGGAGAATCTGCATTCTCATATTAACTGACAGTGTTGATCTGAATGCATTCATATGGATTATTTATATGGTTGTATCTTCCTTTAAAATGGAATTCTTCTTTAGCACAAAGCCAGTGTCTTTGTTCCAGGCGCCTAGCATGTAGCAGAGGCACATCTGACCCTGAAGGAATATTGTAGTTATGCTAATTTAACTGATGGCTTGTTGGGAGGTTAGAATAGTAAAATTTAAGCATTGCACACTGTAGGGTTCACATTTTGTGACCTTCCTTGCATCCTCTTAACTTACCTTTTGACTCTAGCCACGCTGCAACAGCTGTGTGCAGTTGCAACCCACTAGCTCCTTCCTTCGGCTGCACCACAAAACTCTTGCTTTCTCACCTGGGGCTTCTCTGAGGCTGTTGCTGACACTGCAGAAGCCGGCTCAGCTATTCTGCCCCATGCATGTACTGGAGATAGGAATGAATTAAAACCCCATGGGGCCACAAGGGGAGCTGGGCATAAATACTTCCCTCCTGCATCCCTCAGGAGGGTGCACCAGGGGCTCGTCTTACAAGGCAACTCCAAGCATCCCGGCAGGAGGACTCCTCATTCGTCCCTACCTGTGACCCGCTCCACTGGCTTCCCCTCCTTCCCTGTCTCAATCAGCCTAATTCTTTACTCATGTTCCTTGGAATCACTTCCCAAAATAAACTCTCTTGTCTCAGGCTCTGCTTTTGGGGAGAACTCAGACTAAGCCAGCTAATTTGAAATCAGCTTCAGCTCAGTGAAATTTTTCTTAGAGTTAGAGATGTTTGGAAACTATTTGCAAAGTCTCATAAAATAAACACTAAATAAAGATGGTATGGAAAACAAGTAAATAGGATAGCACCCATTATATTGTATGTAAATGTGCTATAAAGCAGGAACTGTTTTGTGAATTAGGCATTCTTTCTTCAGTCATGAGATGGATTCAGACAATTGCTTAGTTTTGTAAAAACACTTCTCCATAATTCTACAGCTGTGTCTTGGATGGTAACTGAATAGTAATGTTTTGATCACAGCTTTACAGATGGTGAGGCCTAGACACAGCAGCTTTCCCGGAGCAAGTGGTGAGGCCCTAGAAGACACATGTCTTTCCCATAGAAGGTCAGTGCAAGGGTCTTGGGCATGAAACCCTATGCTTAGTGCAGTGGGCTAGATGGCTCGCCCAGTGTGTGTGTGTGTGTGTGTGTGTGTGTGTGTGTGTATCTGTGCCAGCGTGTGTGTGTGCTCCTTCATAAGCACAAAGGATGGATTCCAATCTAATTGTTTTGAATACCATGATCCTTGGATTACAAATAGAAAAATGACCTTTTTTCCTTTGGAAGTGGAAAGTGTTGGGCAGTAAAGCTGACATATGAAACCCTGTGCGTTACTGAATGCTTAAATCATAGAATTATTGTGTCTTTTGCAGCTAGGAGAGACATCGAGGGTCACTCAGAGCTGCGACCCAGATGGTTTCTAACAGAGGTAGGGCTAGAACCCAGGCCTTTGGGGTCCCCTTCTTGTGGTCCTTCTAGTACACGACACTGCCTTCTCTTGATGACTCTGCTTTTAAACCAGAGGTTGGCAAACTTTTTCTGCAAAGGCCCAGTTAGTAAATAATTTAGGCTTTGTAAGCCAACGGTCTCTGTTGCAGCCACTCAACTTTGCCATTGCTGTGCGAAAGTAGCCGTAGCGGACACTTAAATGAATGAGCATGGCAGTGCTCCAACAAAGGTTTATCTACAAATGCAGATATAGGCCTCACTTAGCCCCCAGGCTGCAGTTTGCTGACCCAAGTTTTATACTATTCAAGCCATAGCAATTTATATTTGATGGTCACCAAAAGGCTACTGGGGCTCAGAGAGTCCAAGCCACTGTCCAGCTTGGTGGTGAGCAGAGCCGTTGCACCAGCGATCCCACATGACTGGGCATCCTTCCAGGCCTGTGTGTGCTCAGACTCTGAGCCAGCAGCCAGGAGGGTAGGCTTGGCTCCCACAGTGCTTGGTTTCCAGAAGGAATCACAAATTCCCTTCCTGTGCAGACAAAGGAACAATTGTACCATGGGAGAACTTACTGGAAAGTAATGCAGGGTCATGAGGAAGGAACAGGAATTCACTGCTCGGTCACAGTCTTCATAGTCTGGTTGGGAATCAGTCAGACCTAGAAAGGTTGGCTGGAATGTAAGTGTGACTTTGGTAGGCCTCCAGGACCTGACAATTGCAAGACAGTTTGTTGGGTTGTGGTGATTTCTTGAACTCCCGGCCTCAGGCGATCCTCCTGCCTAAGCCTCCCAAAGTGCTGCTATTACAGGCATGAGCCACAGCACCTGCCATGGGTCATGGTGATTTCTATGGCCCACTCAGAACTTCCTTTGGCCATGTCAGCCTCTTTTCAGTCAGGTATATATTAAATAACACTCCCCATTATTTTTACTTCAATTGTTATCTGTCAGGGCAAAGCTATTGTTTCTGTTAACCTAAATTGCCAATAGACAAAGATTGTTTTCTCTCAATTTCATCTTCAACAAAACTTGACTTTGGATGTTTCTCCTGTGCTGTCATATCCAAGATGTGGTCATCCCAGCAAAAGCAAACATCTTCCAAAGGTCAGGGCAATGGGTTTGGGTAAAACCCTATGCTTATACCAAGGGGCTGGTGCTCATGTGGATGCATGAGTGATGTGTATGTGCACGCATGTGTATGTGTGTATGTGAGCTTGACCTTTAAGTTAGAAGGCCATTTGACCTTTAAATTAGAAGATCACATTCCCCGTGGGGCCCTGCTAAAGGAAGGTCCTCCAGCAGCCTGGGTGCTCTTAGTTAGACTCCAGAGTGGATGGATAGTCTCTTGCCATCATCCCAGATCTTCTCTTCATTCTCTCCCTCTCATTTTTCATGATGTGAATCCACATCATGGTCTGTTTCAAAGTTGAAAGAGACAAGGATTTTCAAAGGCCAGATGGCGTTTTCAATGAATTTAATGACCTAATCCTCACAAAGGTACTTGCAGCTACCTGTCTTGATAATCAACTGGCCAGGTGGGTAAATGGGCATAAGCTGTCAATAAATGTCTATGTCCTTGGAGTTTTAGTGATTTAGGGAGAAAAAATATCATACGTTATTATTATTTTCCCCAAGTAGCACACTGGCCCCTGGAGAGGGGAATGCTGGTAGTTGTGTGAGAAGCAGCAGAAATGAGGAGGAAGGAAGGGAGGAATATTTGATTATTTCTTCATAAACAACCAATTCCTTCAGCACCTGCTATGGTTTCTGCTGTTGTGAGAAGAATATCAATGGCTTCAATATTCCATTGTTTGTGGCTGGGAAGCATTTGCTTGCTGTTCTGGGCTGCCCGGTTTTCAGACTGGCCAGAGGGCAGAAAATGTGGCAGATATAAAAGGAAAACTTTAGCCAAAATGCCTTAAATCAGGTTAGCTTTCCCCTTAAAGCCCACTCTGGAATTCCTGCCTCTCCCCCTGCTCCCCCCTTTGTTTCTTCACAAGCCTCTGGTTGATTTTCAGCTGCATTTGTTTGCCCTGAAGAGTGGCAGACTCTTAAGTGTCCAGGTTCTACCGTTCTCCCATGAATGTTGTTAGCTTTTTTAAATTTTTAAACAGCCTACTTTATTTTGATGAAATCTTTATTTTCTTCAGTAACACTAATGCCAAGGAATGATTGGTGAATACAAATGAAAGAAACAGATCACAAAACAGAGGCAAAAAAGACAGGGAAGGAGAAGTTATATGCTGAATGGATAAATTTGAAATGTCTAGTTACCACAAGGTGGCACTGTTAAAACACCTCATTTTAAAGTCCTAAAAAAGGTTGCAAATAGGACAACACAAAATTAAAGAGCCTTTCACAAAGAAAATATTTTGTATCAAGAGTGGAGTGTGCGAGGCGCTTATTTGTGTATGTGAGTGTGTGTGTTGAAATGTAATCTTTTAAAGATGAAGCAAATATTAATATTATGGGGAGTGGTGATAAAATTTTGTGTGTGTGTGAGAAAGGCATTTCAGGATTGATACTAATAACTTTAATACTAAAATTTTATATTGAATTTTAAATACATTTAATCCCAACCAGTCCTTTTCTGGAATCTTTCTGATGCATGACATTGTAGCCATCAGAATGATGGGTTAAATTTACCATTCCTCAATCCACTTTCCTTTTACATGGAGAGCTTGCACACTAGAGGCATTTATTTGAAAACAATTAGTGCCCCATTAGGGGAAACATGAAGCCTGCAGGTCTCAGATATTCTTGACTGCTTTGGAAACTTGTTGTGCAGAAAGTTGGTAAATTAATACTCTATGGAAAAGAATTCTTTAAAACATGTTGTCTATTATGTGACTCCCAGATGCCAATACCATTGTTATTTAAAGTGAACATTTTCATGTTTGTGCATTCTGTGTGTGCCTAGGGTATCCATTTACTGACAGAGAGATGAAAAGCTGATATTTCACAAGTTAGTACATTAAAGATGGGGTATTGATACAATGGTCTAGATAATCTTACTCTTAAAGAAACGCTGGGAGTGGAAAGTGAGCTAATGCAAAAAAGTAGAAATGCCACGAACTTTACACTGATGGTCCCTTGTTTTGCCCTCAGAACAGCAATCTCAATCAGATGATGTTGCTATCTCCACTCTTAAGGTGAGGCTCCAAGAAGTTAAATAACCTGTCGACTGTCACAAAGCCACTATGTGGCAGAATCAGGAGTTAAGCTCCAAAATTACTTTAGAAAAAAATGCAGAAAAGTGAAAGGGAAAAAGGTCTAGGTTGTTTTGCAATTTGTATTTAGATAAAACCTAGTAAAATAATGTAGATATTCTTGAAAGAAAGAGGAGACAGGCCTGCTCTGTTCCAGTGCCTTCTCCACAACCAGATGAAGGGTATGCATATCGCATTATTTATATAGATTTTCCTACTTATCTTACATAATTTTTTATCAGCTTCTATCTCAGCATAACCATAACATTGTCCACCATCCACAAAGCCTTGGAAACCTGCTGGATTTTGCCATACCTGGGGAAGAGAGTACAGGTTGCTCATGACACCTGTAGCTGTGATAGCTCCCAGATAATTCATACTACAGAGGCATTGGCCCAGCTGGAAATGAAATTCATGACATAGAAATCAACTGGTTCCTACTTGGGAAAAGATTATGTTAATGAGAATGTGTAACTCCAAAGATATTGCCTGGTATATATTAGACACTCAACATGATGGCAGAATCTGAGTGGATAGCAATATAAAAAAAACCCCAACTTTGTATTGTTTTGAAGCATCTGAAGCACTATATATTTATTATCAGACTTTCTAATTAAATCATATTTAGGGTAATCTCCTGTGGAATATGCCTTTTGCATTTCTTTTCATGAGGCCCCACTCCTCCCCAGTATCAAGAAACAACAGAGGAAAAGGAAAATTACCAAATGTAGAGTCAGGCATCAAACTGGTTTTTAGCCTAAATTTTGCAGAGATGCCTCAGTGTCCACCTGGGAAGTTATGTGGAGGGAAAGATTGTGTATGGCGGCAAAGGTGTGCCTAGAGGGAGTACACGGGAAGGTGGGCTTTGCCGCCCCCCCTAACTTGTATTGGAGCAGGTGGGCAATTTCTGAGACAGCTGATATTTCTGATAGTATGCTTAAATATATGGAATATTTGATTATGATGTCAAGACCTATATACATCAGGGATCTAAGAGATTTATTGGGCACAATTCATCATGTTATACTTAAAATATTCAGACACTTTGATGATATTTTAAAAAATGAGAAAAGATTCCCTGCGTCCTATGGCTATTAGAGTTGAAGGTGACATAATATTTGAGGAAAAAAAAGTCATTACAGATCTCAGAGAGATGCATCACAGAGGAACTGAATTCCTAATTTGATAAAAAAAATGGGAGGAATCTGATCCTCTGATGATGAATCAGCTGGAGGCTGATTAATACAGAAGTAAGAGCAACTAGGAAGTGTTTTGACAGAAGCAGAAGACCTGGGGTTTATGTTGAAGTTTCTGATTATGTCCTCTAATGGTTCAAATATTGATAGGAATTCCATTTATTTATTTGTTCCTTTGCTCATTTGTTTGCTTACATGTATTCCAAAGAGGTCTGCATGCCAACGGTAGAGAGGGAAATCAGAAGACTTGGATCCACTGCCAGGTGCAGTGATTCACTTGGATCATTCTTTGCTTATGAGAAAGATGTGTTGTTTATATTCTAGCCTATTAGTTGTGTTTGTCTTTGGTGTCGAAAATGTGCCACCTGCCTGTTGATCCAATTGCACTGTTGCCATTTGCCTGTTTTGCTAATGATTTGCTGCAGTTGAAACGTGGTATGACTTGGTCTCGTTCCCAGCTCCTGAAGACCACAGGAAACAGACAGGTACCTGCCTGATCCTCCAGGGCTGCAGACATTCCTCGGCAAGCGCTGTGCAGTACGTGCTGTTCCTCCTGGGTCATGCCCGCCTCCAGCTGTCAGGCCCTCACCCTGGAGGGCTTGGGGGATACATGGGAGAATTTTGTTGATTTGGGCTCAAGGTCAAGCAAGTTATTTTAGAAACCTTAGGAGATTTAGTTTAAGAAATATTAAAAGGTCTCATAAAAGAAGTTTGTAGAGTTGGCTGGTTTGTTAATGAGACTGAAGAGCCATACGTTATCTTGGTATTTGATCAGTTAATAAATTATTTCAATATGATGTCTCTTTTTTTCTTAATTTTTTTTCCCCTAACAGTAAAGGGTTGCCAAGAATATTGCAGAGTCTTTGGTAATCTCCTGTGGAATATGCCTTTTGCATTTCTTTTCATGAGGCCCCACTCCTCCCCAGTATCGAGAAACAACAGAGGAAAAGAAAAATTACCAAATGTAGAGTCAGGCATCAAACTGAGACTTTTGGGCTCCGAGTCCAGGACACCATTTTCACATTATAAATAGACAAGTAGGTATTTAATAGCTAATGAACAAGAACTTGAGATTGTGGCTCCGTTTTTTTTTTGTTTTTGTTTTTCTGAGATTCACATATACCAAGTATCAGAGAACAGCCCCCAAAGTGCACATTTATTACTAATTTATTAGTAAGAATAATGCACTAAATCTCATTCCATACTAGAAATGAAGTGGTCTAAAACAATAACACAACAATAAAGTAATGGTAAAATGTAAGATTGAGGAACTAGAAGATAAAGATCAGGATAAAAAGGCTGATACGAGGTTTACCCAAGAACTTCTAGGATGTTCTGAGGGTTAAGGCAGCTGTTGCAATTCAGCCTCATATCTGGAAGCAAGCCAAACTGAATCCAAGTGTAAAAGGGACCACAAGACAAAAACTAAGGAATACAGAAGCTTTCTCTGACAAAAATATCATTTCTGAGTGCTTAGAGTTTGCATTTCTCCTTAAATCACTCATTTCACTGCACACTCGATAGTAAAAAAGTTTAACGGGATTAATTTGCCTGAATACTAAATCAGTATTTTTAGGGAGCAGGGCCCTAAACAGGTAAGTTTTTTGCTGGCAAAAGAAGGTCAGGTCAGGAGCTCAGCACCCTGAAGCTGACATCCAGCGGGGCAACTCAAGAGCCTTGGCACCTGGGCAGGGAGACAGAGTGGGGAGCTGAGGGGCTCTGCGACAAAGGTGAGCTACAGCCATCTTTGTTTTTGTTTTCTAGCGTTGGTTCTAAAGAAATAGATCACAAAATACAAAGGAGGAGAGGATTTATAATTGCTTTGTAGAGAAATAATGTTTGCTTAATTCTGAGAAAAGATAGAAAATGAACAAGGGATGCCTTCTTTCGACAAGAAAATATGTAATACTTTTATTTGGCATTTCAGCTGTAACAGGATCATTCTAATAAGGCTAAGTTAAGATTCAGGGAAGCAAAGAATTCAGCTTAGCATGATTTTATTTCCCAGTTTCTCACAAACTTTCATGTGTCATATTGTGATTCAAGGAACAGGTATCAGCAAATGACCTTGGGTACCCGCTCTGGGTTGCCTTGACAATGATTCAGCTTTCTCTCTCCCAGAGGGAGATGCTGTGCCGAAGCTCAGCTTCTTTCAACTGGCATCTAAACCCAGACCACCTGGCATGCAGGAGTCTGTCTGTACTCTCTGTAACAAGGCCACTTTATCATGTGTCCTTAAAAAAAGTACAGAGATGGGGCTTGGGTTCCTTTACTGGAATGTAAGCCACACTGTTTAGCAGTGACGTTGGCCCACAATGGGGGGCCGAGGGAACAATGGGTGACCCCAGTCTCCTCTATTCTTGCTGAACCTAGCTGTGCAAGTCTCCTTTTTCTCCAGTAAAGCTCTTTCCTTAACCCATGCTCTGAGACATTATGGAGTTCCTTCTAAGCTCCATGCTTGACAGGTGCAATCCATGAGAGACCCACTTTCAGAACAGTTGCTCTGAAGGCAACAGGAATGGCAGTCTTTGAGAGCCCAGGTTTAAATTGTGACCCCGAGGTCCCTAGAATAACACAGAAAAATGGCACTTTCTTTATTATTAAAAATCCTCTTGTGTTCAGGGTTAACTCTTATCCTGAAGCTAATAGACTCTTCTAGATGCCACTATAGCCCCACAGGTTAAAATGCTCCCTCTACTTAAATTCTCATCTCATTACTGTTAATTGTGTTTTTCTCTGTAGGTAAGTACTAAGTAGGCCATAAAAAGAAGTGCTTCTGGTCAAATTTCATACTGACTCCCATGCGAATGATACAGAACACTGTGGAAGGCCTCGCCAACGCAATCACTGTCACTAATTATTATTTATCCAGCTCTGCCGGCTGCATACTGAGTGAGCCCCAGCATTGGTGACAAATACGGGTTCTAATGTCATGAAAACAGTACAGCCTCATGCGAGTGTAAGTCACCACTTGGTTAGTATTCTTTTTGTTGTTGTTGGAACATGGTTAATTCAATTCTGTCCCCTAAATTGAACTTTAACTAGGATTAGTTTTTATGACAACTACGGACATTGCTCATAAATGAGGGAAAATAAGGATTGGTTTTTCACAAGTCTTTCTTTTAAGCTTTGTATCTGAACATAATAGAACCCTGTGGTTCTTGTTATTGCTTTAGCATAGCTTACTATGTAGATTCAAACAGGTCGTGAGTCCATCATGTCCCCTAAAACAAAACATTTGCTTATAATTAAAGCCCTATATTGCATATTAAGCCCACTTATGGATATTGAGGTCTGTATCTCTACCATTTTCAACATTAACAAGGATTTCATTAAGTTTTGGACAAAAATCTAAATCATTAAGTGAAATAGAAAGCCGAGTGCTACTTAAATTGAAGTGCTATATAAACATAAATATAGTGATAGACTGAGGATTTCTTTCTTTTTTTTTTTTGTATTTTAGAATATTACAGGGGTACAAACATTTTGGTTACATAATTTGCTTTTGTACAGTTTGAGTCAAAGTTCTAAGTGTGCCCTTCACCCAGATAGTGTGCATTGTACCGGTTAGATGTATATTTACCCATCCTCTCTTCTCCCCCTCTACATACTTGATTTCTAATCAGTTTTGCTTCCATGTACAAAAAGATTTTCTTTATTTTTTTAACCCTAGGTACACAGGATTTCATTGATGTTGATCATAATCATTGGTTGAAGATGTACATGTTTCAATCTTTTTAATAATATAATGTCCACTAATATTATGACCATTCATGTACCTACTGCCCAACCCCAGAACAAGGGCATCACCAAAGTAAAATCTGTTACTATTATTCTTCATGGTCAATCAACTTGTGTTGTCCCCTACTGGTTGTTTTCATTATCACTGCCATCATTGTTTTCTTGAGACTGAGCAACACCAACAGATAGATTTTAAAAATATATCAGCTATTACAATTTACCCCTGCATGGCACAGAGGATTAAGCTAATATAACTAATATTGGATACTTTTAGTCAATCCAGAATATCATGCTTCTTTGGGAATTCTGTCTTTGCAATTGTAGCCTAAAGTGCACCTAATGAGAGAATTTCACTCCTAGCAGGTATCAACATCTCATATTCCTGAGGCTTCCTGGCTGTTTAGTTGCAATCCTTGGCTTATTCATTTGTTCAGAGAAAATTTCCTGAGAGCACCAGGCACTGAGCTTAATGCTAGGGTTTCAACTCAAAATGCGGGAGACCAATGATCTCTCAATAGAGAGATCATTGTAATTTGAAGTAATGAAAATGAGAAAAGTTCTGTGCAAAGAAGTGGTTTGAACAGGACAGAGCACTTCTTTCTGTTCTGGAAGAAGCAGAGGGAAGGCCCCCAAAAGAAGCGATATTTGACTTGGGGATTTTCCTGATGAAGAGGTGGAGGTTTAACACAATAGTGAATAATGTTATTTAATGGAGAAGAGGGATGGAGGGGGTTTGAGACTTCTTATCCTTCTTTTTTTTCCTGTGAGAGCCTGCTGGCTTTGTGCAGTTGTTTATACCCACCAGTAGTCATAGAAAGAAAGGGCACAAAACTACTACGCTGAGACACCATCCCTTTACCTGGAGTTTATCCTGTACAGATGCTATCAGAACCCAGGTGTTTTTTTTTAAAACAAATGGAAAGGTGTACTTGTAGTGTCTCAGGATGTACAATGTATAGCTATAATGAACAGAAGCACGTAACTGTGGGAATCCATTGCAGTTCCGACATCTTTACTAACCTCAAGGATAAAAATATATATATACTCTAATGTCAGTGATACCACAGTGCTATTCAAGAAGAACTAGTTGTCCTTCTGTCTGCTAAACAGGCACTCAGTTTTGTCTTTTCTCCAATGGAAATACAAAATGCTTTTGGAAAAGTCCCTAGAACCAAACAGAAGACTGTGTCCCCTGTGGCCACCACTTCATCTGCTTGCTGGAGATAATGGGGGGAAAGACCAGTAAATAAGGATTAGAAAAGCATGTTTGGGGTCTACAGTCTCTATAATGATGCTGTAGCAATAGTTCTTTGTTTTGTACAGTAATTGAGTCAAAGGCTTATGATAATATGATTCTACAGCCAGAGCAGATAGCAGATTTCTGTGGGCCATACTCTCTCAATTAGATTGCTGTGGCTCAGCCACAGGAAGCCATCAGAGTATAAAGACTTAATTTTTCTCAGTGGTGTGTCCTGAAGAAAAATGATCAGTATGCAGTTTTCCTACTGCCTGTCTGTCTTGTAACATTTTATTTTATCTGCTCTTTCCTGCCATTGTCATTATGGCTATTCATTATTTACAGTTGTGATGAATGGGCTGATGGTGCCTTTGTTCTCACTTTTTCTGGAATTGCGCTTTAGTAAGGAAAGTCTGCCTCGGGTGCTGGTCTGTTCATCCAGACTGGCCCAATTTCTCCTTTAGTGGGCATATTAGGTTCACAAACTACATTTCCTTCTCTCCTTCTCAAACCCGAGTTTGAAGATCACTCCCATCTTGTGGTAAAGAAAGCCATTCAGAAGGTTCATCTAAATTTCATCTTAGCAAAGGGGCTGCTCTTCTGGATGGTACTGAAAGTTATTTTCAGTTTTCAAAAGAGCAACTAGTGCTCAGCAGGCAAAGGTAAGATGTGACAAGGCAGTGAGTACAAGATGTGTAGGGCATGAAAAAAATCAACAATGAAGATGTTTGGAAAGAGGTCTTTTCCATGCGTTATATTCTTGAGAACATTAGAATGGTGTCCGTTGACTTCGTATTTTACTTCTGATTCTGTGGGGATCCTTTAAGGTGAAGATTTTGACATTCTGCATTTTGCTGAGCAGTGGAAACTTACCAGCAGAACCTGTGCCCTGACAACAGGTCACAATTTATAATGACACCTGCAGAAAGTGGCAGAGAAGCCTAGAAATGAGAGAACCAGGGTTCAAATTTGTACATCCTTCTTTGATTTTCAAGGCAGGTTGGACTGGATTTTTATTCATTTCATTTATTATGATGGTTATGCCACTTATGTCAGTTTTTTTAATTTATAAAAGTGAGCGGATCACTCAGTTTTTCTCTTTTGCCTGGTGAGACAAAGTAAAGAAAGTCCCTGTCCATCATGTCCACTAAGGGTGAGGAGAGAGGTTTATCCCTTCCCTTCTTACTTAGGGCACAAGTTTATGGAAGAAAAACATTAAAAATCTCCCTTGCGCTATCACTGAGTTACACAAAGTCTTCAAAAAGCTTTCCTGGTTTCCTTACAAACCGTAGCTCATTGGATCGTCATTGCGACACTATGATGCAGGTGCTGTTATTATCATTCCCATTGTATGTAAGAAGACTGAGGCACAGAAGAGTAAAGTAATCTCAAATTTGCACAACTAGTAAGATGTGGAACAGGGATTCAAACTAAGTCTACTCTGGGTTCCTCCCTCTCAACCTCTATTCTTGGCTGGTACACTCCTGCCTCGGGTTGGCTAGTTCTTTTTCTAGTATTTCTTAGGAAAATATTAATATATGCACATACAACTTATTTATAACAGGGAGTGACTCATAATTTTGTACTCATCATTTTCCAGGTAATATTCAAGTAGAGTGAGGCCTGTTCTGAACTAAGCTGCCCACGATTCAGAGGGTGGCACAGATTGGATTGTAGGCCATTTTGGTGACCAGCCCACCCTTCCTAAGATTCAGGAAAGTTGTATGCAGGCGTCTCAATTGTAAACTGCAAAAGAAAGTATAGAATAATCAATGATGGTGTTTTGATAGTTAGGGTCAAAGAATTCATTTCCTTTTTCAGAATGAACCACTTTTACTGTGTCAGACTTTATAGCATTGTATAATTTATGTACTCCCCTGATGTTGGAGCCTCATGGAAATTCACTGAAATTGCTCTAGGAAACCGTAACCATCGATTTATTTGAATTTTGGATCCTCCTCTAGGGATTACATTTAATGCCCCCTTTTATAGTTCCAATGTTCTATGTGACATCTGAGAAATAAATATTTTCCCCTAATGTGGCATTAAGATTACAGACCCAAATTTTGTTAATTTGTAGCAAAATGACAGTTATTTGTTGACTTGTTCAATTGTCCTTGTCTTGGACTCTGTGTTCGAGTTTAGGGTAGGCAATAACTTGCTGAAATGTCTATTCCCTCTGAATTTCAGAAAACTAATTGCAACAAAGACTTATCCCAGATGGTAGCACTTCCTGTTTTGCATTTAGTTAAAATTTTTTATTTAATCTAATAATGCTTTCTGGGGGACTAAATTCCATAGCTTCCCAGTTGTAAAAGGCAACATAGGTAAAGATGCTAGTTGGTGAATAAAAATAGCTCAGGAATGGGCCAAAAATTAAGATATCTTGAGTACCTACTGTGTGCCAGGAATTGTACTAGTGCTTTATATATGTATTTTCATTTACTTCTCAAACTAGCCATAAAATGGGGTGATTAGTAACTTTCTCATGGGATTAAAGAAAGCAATATTCTATGACTTTGGGTATTTTTCCCAAGGGCTCAAATTAAATAAAGACTGGGGCTGAGAAGAAAATCTGGGTCTGCCTAGTTGCAAAATGTATGCTGTTTCCACCCAACAATGTTCACTGTGAGTCAGAAGATCTGAATTTGTTCATTCATTCATTCATTCCACAGATTCCACCTATTGTGTGCCAGTAACTCTCCTAGTCCTTGGCAATTCAATAGTGTTCAATATAGAAATTATGACTGTTCTGAAATTTACCTTCATGATGGCAATGGGGGAGAGGTGAGTCAAGAAGATACACAACACACAAATACATTAATAAATAAAATTCATAATATTTTAATAGAAATAAAACAGAAGGATATGATAAGAGAGTGAAGGGGTCGACTTTAGACTGGATGGTCAGGGAGGACCTTGTTGAGCAGGTGACACTTAAGGTAAACTTTGAGTGATAGAAGGAACAGCTATGTGAGAGAAGAGCTTCCAGATAG